GCCACCGCCCAAGACCGAGAAATAAATTCGAGGATTCATTGGCCGGTTGCAATACATAAGTAGGTTCATATCAAAACTCAGCACAGTATGTGAACCAGTATTCAAGAAACTCAAGAAGAATGTACCAGTAGTATGGGACGATGAGTGTCAAGAAGCCTTTGATAGGATCATAGCATATCTTGCGAATCCTCCTGTACTAGCACTAGCACTACAAGACATTCCTCTTCGTTTATACTTGACAGTCACCAAGGAAACAATGGGGGCTATGCTTGCACAAGAAGTAGAAGGTAAATAAAACTCCATCTACTATCTAAGCAAGATGATGCTTGAATATGAAGTTCACTATACACCACTTGGAAAATTGTGCCTCGCACTTGTGTGGACCACAAAGAAACTAAGGCATTCCATGCTTGTTCACACAGTCCATGTGGTGTCTCGAATGGATCCTCTCAAGTATCTATTTGAAAAATCCACACTTAACGAAAGGGTATCAAGATGGATAGCCACCTTGGCTCAATTTAACCTAAGGTTTGTGCCTTAAAAGTCTATCAAGGGATCCGCAGTTTCTGACTTCTTGGCTGATTTTCCACTTGAAGACTCCATGCCAGTGCAAGAAAATGAGTTTCCGGATGAAGAATTACTTGTCACTGATGATGACACTTGGATATTATGCTTTGATGGTGCATCCAATCAAAAAGGATGTGGTGTAGGAGTCTTACTGGTGTCACCTAATGAAGAGCAATCCCAATCTCAATAAAACTTGACTTTGATGTAACCAACAATGCTGTAGAATATGAAGCATGTGTGGTAGGCCTCGAAACAACACTAACAGTTAGAGTAAAAAAGCTTTGAATATTCGAAAACTCGTCCCTTATCATCAACCTGAATTCCAAGAGATGGAAGGTGAGGAGTGAAAGTCTAACTCCATACCAAACTTACTTGGAAACTCTCACTGATCAACTCAAAAAGGTAGTATACACATACCTACCAAGAGAAGAAAACCAATTCACCGATGCCTTAGCAAGATTAGCCTCGATGGTTAGAATTCCTAAGGAGATAGAGAAAATGCCTCTAACCATAATGAAAAGACACAAGCCCGCCTATGTTCAAGCCCTTGAGGATGAAGAAGAAGTCCAAGAGGACGAGGGAGAACCATGGTACATAGGCATCCTCAATTATGTCACTAAAAGGTGAATATCCACCTAATACTGACAAAAGAGAAAAACGTGCTTTGATACTCTTAGCCTCACTGTACGTACTTATAGATGGTGAACTCCATAAAAGAGTATCTAAAGGAAGAGCTCTCTTATGTGTAGGCAAAAAGGAGGCACAAAAGGCAATGAGAATCATCCACGAAGGAGCATGTGGAACACACAAGAATGGTAAAATGCTAGTTTAGAAAGTCATGCGCCAAGGCTATTGTTGGACTACCACGGAAAGAGATTGCCATCAATATGTGAAAAGGTGTGAAAAGTGCCAAATATATGCCAATTTGCAACATGTTCCACCTTCCCTCCTTTACACTTACACATCTTTATGGCCCTTCTCAACATGGGGAATAGATATCAATGGAAAAATCACTCCACCTGGATTAGGAGGCCATGAATACATCCTCGTCGCCATTGATTATTTCACCAAGCGAGTTGAAGTGGCATCCTACGCGAAACTCACTGCAAAACATGTGGCACTCTTCATAGAAAGAAACATCATATGTCGATATGGAGTCCCATATGAAATGATAAGTGACAATGGTACTCACTTTTCAAGCAGAGTATGAAGACCTACTAAAAAAGTATGGTATTCAACATCACCTCTCTTCTCCATATAGACCTCAGGCAAATGGCGCAGTAGAGGCAGCTAATAAAAATCTAAAGACAATTATCGAAAAGATGATGGAAAATTACAAGGATTGTCCTGCTAAACTCCATTTCGCTCTTTGAGGTTATCGCACGTCAATCCGCTCATCCACAGGAACTACGCCGTTCTCCCTAGTCTAAGGAATGGACGCCGTACAACCTGTAAAGTTAGAAATACCTTCCTTGCGCATAGCATTGGAAAGTAAACTCGGTGAGGTTGAGTGGACAAGAGCACGATACGAAGAGCTAATTCTACTCGATGAAAAATGACTAGAAGACTTCCATCACGTCCAATGCTACCAAAATCGCATGACTAGACATTTCAACAAAAAGGTCAAGACAAGAAACATCAAGGAAGGAGACTTGGTGTTGAAAGCTCTTAGTAAGAATGTCCTAGATCCAAGAGGAAAGTTTAGGCCTAATTAGTCTGGACCATACATCGTAAAAGCTATCCTGTTTGGAGGCGCAACTAAGTTAACAGATATGGACGACAATGAATTTTCAAATATGACAAACCTTGACCAACTCAAGAAGTTCTACCCATAATCTGATGAGTTCCGTACTCAAGAGAACTATGTTTGGCCTGATTCCTTAATACTAAGGATACGTAAACAACCCTTCGGGAGGGTGCGGCCACTTTAAACATTTAAAATCTTGCCACCGGAAACAATAAGTCAATACATAAATTGCAAAAATGGACACTTCAGTATCGCATCACATCAAGTATCATCGTGCCGCGACAAGACCAACGCGCCGCGATAAAAAGCTTGGCTTTTCTTATTAACTGTGAACAATTGCGATTTATTTTGCATTTAAATTGGTTCGAAAATTTTCCGACTTCAGTACTCGGATTATTTTTGAATCACCTAAGTTTTTTCCGTTGCTCCCAACTTCCGCAATTGGGAAATTATTTCTAATAAGATTATATTGGGAATAAATTTAATTTTTATTAAAAGCTGAAATTGCATCAGTAATTAAATAAGAATTGAAATTACATTACTGATGACATTAAGCTTAAAAATGAAATTAACTTTGAATTGAAATTGTCTAATGAATTAAAAGCAAAGCAATACTCTAAATCTACTCTTTCTTTTCCTTGCGAGCCCTTTTCCAGTTCTTATTTGTGTCTTCATCATCTAATAATTCTTTTACTAGTAGTGAACCCTTAGATGAGCAAACTGAAACCTTTGAGGAAGAAGTCTCTCCTTTGGCAAAGACCCCTACCTTTTTCTCAACCCAAACTTTCTTGTCTTTCTCTATAAGAGCTTTTCTCTTCCCTTTACCCTCTATAACACCTTTCTTCTTAGGCATGATAGGAGTCTTGAACTTAATTCTTGAACCCAGACGAGCTTTAGGTGGAGCCTTTTTGTCCCCTAAGCGGTCTTTTATGTTACTCTTCTATGCACCCTTAGAGTTTGTTTTTCAAGCTTTGTTCTTGTCCTTTTGAATTCGAGCAAGTAACCATTGCTTGTATTCCCGAGACAATGGAGGAGGAGCTCTATCAGATACAATCGTTCTAATGGTCTCGCATACCAATAATCATCGAACCTCTTAACATTCTTTGATACAAAATAATCAAGAGGACGACGATCGTCACCAGAGGGGATAGTTTGTGCAAGTCCATACTGTCTCATCATTCTAGAAGGGAAATAAAAAGTCAACTTTGATAAGCTTGGGATGCGACAAAAAGGTTGAGTATTGACTCCATTCATCTTCTAAATCTTCCACCATGGAACAACCCACTTGATAGAGAAATCGCGAGTTTCGAATATTTTCCCCACTCCTGATAGCCAATCTTTATGGAAAAACGTTTCTTCCTTCTCACAAGATAATTTGGAGTGTACTTTTCAACATCATCAGGAGGATTAATCAATCCCAGTCGCTCCATTATCCAAATCTGCAAGCATAGATATTAAATTATTATTACATTACGAAATTAAATATTTTTGATTTCTGTAATTAAAAGTATTGATTTTATAACTGTAATAATATAGGAGTTCCTCGAAATGGTGCTTTGGGATCCATTTTCAATTCATCTAAACTCATCTAGACCTGGCAATACTAACCCAAACCCGATGACCTGACCCGAATGAACCGACCCATGACCCGAAATTGACCCGAAAACAGTGACCGAAATTGACCCGAAACTCGAAATCAACCCAACCCGATCCATACCTGACCTTGACCCGAAACTCGAAACGACCCAACGCGAAATGACCCGACCTAAAATGACCTGACCCGAAGTTGACCCGATACCCGAAGTGACCAGACCCGAAATTGACCTGATACCCGAAGTGACCCTACCCGAAATTGACCCAATACCCGAAGTGACGCGACCTTAATTTAAATTGAATTAATTGACCCAAAAAGACCCGAAACCCAAAGTGGCCCGAACTAAAATTACCTTATATCTAAAATGACCAGAATCAATTTAAGCCAAAGACTTAACCCGAGCAAACCGAAATAAAAAATAACCGCAATCAAACTGACTTAATTTTTTATTATTAATTTGTAATGTGTAACAGTGCAAGTAATTTACATATTTTGGTTTTTCTAAGCTATGCCCTTGTGGTTGTTGAGTTTCTAATGTGTGCCCATACTTTTTCAAAATTATAAGTTGTGCCCTCCAAGTTAAGTTGTTTATTCAATCGTACCCTCTGACGTTAATAATTGTAACAAAAAATAGAAAGTAATAATAATCGGATGAGAAAAAAAGAAAAGAAGTACACCGAGAGCTTAACATATCAATGGTTGATTTTTGAAGAATGAAGAAAAAGTAGATGAGCAAATGTGGAAATAATACTTAATGTTAATCCCCTTATATAAGTCTAACCCAATTTGGGCATGAAATTTCTTTCCAAAGTAGGGGTAATTAATAGTTAACACAATTATTAACGTTGGGTTAACATCAGAGGGTACGATTGAATAAACACTTTAAGTTGAAGGGCACATCTTGTAATTTTAAAAAAGCATGGGTACACTTTAGAAACTCAACAATCACGGGGGCATAATTAGAAAAACCCTACATATTTTTAGTATTACTTTTCTCGATTTCTTCGACCTTTTCTCTATTGAGTTATAAGTATTAAAAATTCGTAAAATGATTGAAAATTAACGACTATTCTACGGTGTTTGTCCATAAGATTAAGAAAAAATTTACTAAAGCTTGAAGTAAAAGTCACAATCTCATAAGTCCGGGAAAAAAAATAATACAATAATAACACATACGTAACATAATGTTCAATACCAAATGAAATTACAAGGTCTGATAGGCAAAATAGCAACCAATCTAATATTCTAAAAAATTATACTCCAATATTCCACTCTTAAAATTGTTGACATCAAATTGTTGGAGCCGTCGCCCAATCCACATAAGAGCCAAAAAATCCATCAGCCTCATTTGCTACATGAATATAAATACAATAGTATAAGCAAATACACTATAAGTGCAAAAATAAAGAAACAAGAATATACAAATTTAAAAAATTTAGGAACATGAATATACATATTTAAAAAATATAATAAAATACTTACTTTCAAAAGAGTACATCCAACTACGAGTTGTTATTAAAGCCTCCACATTTTCAGGAATCGATGAACTTTTCCATTTATTCAACACTCGACTCCCAATGCTGAAAGTTGATTCCGAAGCAATGGTTGTTAGGGGCACGGCCAAAATATCTCTAGCCAAATGAGAAAGGCCTTTATATCGATGTTCACTTTCTTTCCAAAAAGCTAATATGTCAAGCTCCGCTTTTCGATCTAGTTTAGGGTCCTCAAGGTAACATCTAATATTGACCTCTCACCAAAAGAAATTAGGCCTCTTTATTATCGTATTTCTTAATTCAACACGAGTCAAACTATGAACTATCTTATATATTCATTCAGATGTTAGACTATGACCCATCTTATATATTCATTCAGATGTTAGACTATGAACCATCTTATATATTCATTCAGATGTCAGACTATGTATATGTAATTAGTTAATGCCTCTCTATCTACAAAACTACAATATACAACTTAATGAAGAAACTGAGAAGAAGACGGAACCAGAATGTGAGAAGCCAGACAGATTATACTAGGAAAGGTCATTTAAAGATGCATCTAAAGCAGCCTTTTCATAGTTCAGCAACAAAGAAATAAAATTCTTCTCAAGGGACAGTCAGTTACACACAAACACATCAATTTATTCTGACAATTGTGCAATACAAATGTACAGAAAATCTTTAAAAAACCAGTAATTGACAGAAAAAATAAACTAAACACAAGAAAACAAAAGACAAATATGTAGAAAATAGTCTAATCAATAGATTAGAATGAAGGATAATCAAAAGGATTGAAATAACAGAAGAAAAATCATCGCAAAATAGTCGTATTTTTGCTTGCGGTTTCTAGTTGAAGTGCTGCTTATGGAGGCTTCGGACTGTGAGAAATATGCCATATCAGTGTTGTTCAATGTCGATGATGTTCCAATATGGGCATATAGCTTATAAAATTTCTCCAACTTAAGATGGAGATCACTAACTCTCAAGGTAGCCTCTACATCTCCAAATATGTTTTGGTAACAAAACTTTAGCACAGATATTTTACAACGAGGATCAAGAATCATAGCAAATGCAAATAACATGCCATAGTCATCTTATTCCGAGTTAAACCAATACTTATCAAACTTGCTCTTCATTTCTATAGCCATTATCCTCAAAACGTCATCATCATCGTGCTCCAACTCTATCAAAAGCATGAAAAATCTTCCAAACATTCCCAAAATAAAGATTTGAGGTAGGATACTCAATTCCCGAAAATATCTCAGTTATCTCATGGAAGGGTTCTAAAACATCTCGAATCTTCTCAAGAACATCCCACTGTTTAGAGGTAAGGACACCATTTTTGAACTTCAGACATCTCCCTAAAAGCCTCACGATATAAAATAGCCCTATCAAGCATCATGTACGTAGAGTTCCACCTCGTAGGAACATCAAGCCATAATGATTTTGTTTCTTTTATCTTAGCTAGACTTACACAAGATTGAAAAGTCTTTTTTCTTGTTTCAGAATATTTTACCTTCTTCACACAATGTCTTACTTTCTCAACTATATGTTCAATGACCTTAAGTCCATCTTTAACAATGAGATTTAATACATGTGCAGCACATTGTACATGAAATAACTCACCATTATATAACAAACCATCTTGTGCAAGTAGAGTTTCCTTCAAATAATCTTGCATTCTATCATTACTAGAGGCATTGTCTAAAGTGAAGCAAAAAATCTTATCATCAATACCCCAATATTGAAGCATGGACAACACTGCAGCATACATGGTCTTTCTAGTGTGTGGTTAATCAATACGGCTGAAGTTAAGCACTGTACTAATTAATTTCCAATTATCATCCACATAGTGAGCTGTCAATCACAAATATACCTCAGTTTGACAAGATGTCCACATGTCACATGTTAATGAGATACGACTAGAGACTTTACTAAGAGTTTCCTTTAATCGAGCCTTCAAAGTTTTATGCATTTTTAAACAATCAGCTTTAGTAGTGTTCATACAAATGAATTTTACATCATCACTTAAATATGCATGAATTTCTCTATTACCATCATGTTCAACCCAAGTAAAAACATACCCATGTTTTATTATGGCTTTAGCTACCAGATTTCTGTACACAATTTGGTTAAAGATTTTACCTTTGTTTGAACCATTTCCTCCTTGGTTTTTCATATATTTCTCATATGCACTGCATTTTCTAAGATGTCTTTTCATATTTTGGGTTCCATAATGGGGTCGGTTATGAAGGATGCTTTCTGACAATGTTTGCAAATTGACATCTATTTCTTATCACTAGATTCCGTCTTGTCAAACGTGAGGAATTCCAGATTCCATAGTGCTCACATTATAGTTTTCAACTGTGAGTTCAGGATCACTGGCTTCTTCCTTTGTGTAAGAACATTGGCTTCTTCCTCTAGTGTATACTCATCCTCTGTTCCCTCTGGTGAAATAACAGACTCGTCATAACTAATATGATCCATTGCTGGAAAAAAAAAAAGCAAGAATAATATCATTAGTTATTGTAAGATTAAGATAAGGTGTAGCGTCTCTTATCCAATAATGTTTACAGATTTGAATCATAATTCTGAAACTAATATCCATACAGGATTTGAAATGTTGTAGTGGAGACAAAAATAATAACATCTAAACCAATCAAAAAGCGAAATGACCTTGTATTTTTCTATACATTCAAATTAAGGCCATGTCAGCACACTTTTAAAAGATATTTAATTATTTGTTAGAATGCAGCTTGCTTGAACTAAGCAGATAATCAAAGAATGAAAATTCGAAAAGTGGTCACCTTAACAGTTAACACCATGTAACTAAAATAGCCCATACAAAGCATATCATACAAAAGAGAAATGATGCTCTAGGAGGAGGTAAGTCAGCAGGAAAGTAGAATGGAATGAATAATCTTTCTTCTACCTTCTGGGCTAATCCATAGAAATAACTAGTGGGCATAGTATGACAGAAAATAAATGCCACACCATAAGAATAGTCGAAAACCAATTGACACACTATAGTCTACATGCCAAGGCATGTACCATGTCAGGTAGCTTGAATAACAACATACCATAACAGGTTATAAAAGTCTTCAATTTTACAAAACTTATAAGCCAAAACCTATAATCAATCGAATCGATTCTTCCATTTGCATACAAAACCACATAATGGACGATTGAAATAAGCTCAAAACCCCATCAATCATAACATCAATTTCTAACTCATTAATCACTCTAAAACAGTTCTACCACAAAATTAAGTTAACCCCAAAAAAAATAAAGCACAGATTAAAATATAATAAACAAAATGCAATACAAATTGATATGATTCATTCTTATCAAAATCAATTAAGTTAGAGTAAGAGAGAAATACTGTCAGGATTTATCTAATGCATTAAGATTTATCCCATAGAAACCCCCAATTGATTTTTTTTTTTTTTTTTTTTTTTAAATAAAACTAATTTTCGACAGACAACAAATATCAGATCTATGAAATAGAAGTAAATTACCTGAGATTCTGAGAATATGAAATCTTCTAGGCCACTTGAGTAAAAAAACGCTTGAATGGAAAATGAGATGAAGTGTGTAGAGATTAGAGAAGAGTGAAGACAAAAGAGAGAGACTAGACTCAATGGAGTAATGGATAGAATGAAAAATTGAAAACGGCTGACAAAGATTCTAGGGCTGTAGATTTTTTTTCTTCTTATTGTTTTACTTTGACTTTTGTTTTTTGTCTTTTAGAATGTAGTCACTTTGCTCGTGGAAATTTGGAGGGAGTATTCCCGCTATACTTTTGGAGTTTTAGCCATTTGGGGCGGAAGAGTTTCCCACAAATTTTGACTAAGTTAAATGTTTTATTTTTGTTTCCCTTTTAAATTTTCACTTTTAAGTTGTAACTTTGTTAAAATTGAATTTTTGAAATTTTTTAATTGATTAATAAGTGTGTTCGTAATCTTACATCTGAATATGAGAATATTTCACTTAATTAATACTATCTTATTGTGTGCAACTGGCCAACTATGCACTAATTAGTCAATTACCCAACACTCAGTCATTATAAGTTTATAACTGATTATTTTTTTTTTCTATAAATATAAACATAAATATATAATGCATGATAATGATCTTATATTCAAAAAGTAATATTTATTTATTACATTAGTTTAGTTGTTCTATGGTAATCTTTCAACTGTTGTAAAATTTAAATGATATAATTGAGTAGATAGATACAAGCATAGTTGCATAACTGCAATACTTCATAGTTTATTAGTTCATAACAGACTAACAGTGATGAGACATCCCATAAAGTAATTTAGACCGGAGAATGAGCTATTAAGTAGCCTGGAAAAGGTTTACTCTAATATTAGCAAGTTTGAATTTGAGATCAAATTACCTTAAAATGGAAAAACCTTGTTATGAGTTTCATTTGAAAAAAATTGATTAGAATCGGATAGGTTTACAATAATGTTGTTAATTGACTTTATAATAAAATTTTGTGTCGTTTTCCACCCTTTTGTTTAAGTACTTGATCACTTTTATAGTTTAAGTTGTTTGAATTCCTAATTAACAATAAATTTTATATCAAATGAAGCATGTTATAGCCTATTTTTTATTGAATCGATCACAAAAATAAAATTGAGTATAAGTTGGCTGGTTTGACCTCCTAATTTGAAATTTTGTAGTAAATTAATTTCAAATGAAGCATGTTATAACATATATTTGATCGAATCGGTTAAAAAAAGTTCACAACGCAAGTAAGTATGCTTCGCATCCATCCATACTACTACTCTTTATTAGAAAATATATAATCTTGTCATTCTTGTGTCATTGTGTGTATTTGTTGAAATCACCACAATAAATATTTTAATAATATTCAATTGGTAAAATTCTATAATTTAAATTACTGATAATTATAATATGAAGTCTATATTGATCAATTTTCTGCACAAGCATGCCTGCATGGCTGCATACATGTATGTCCAGTTAAAATTAATGGAGCACTTAAAAAACATAGATTATATTATAGATTATTATAAGAATAATACGAAGAAATTATTACAACAAAAACAATGATAATAAGAGTATTAAAACCAAGGTCAATAAGAGAGTAAGGAATAACTCAATTGGTTAAAGCGTCCCTCTTAGTTTCAGGAGATCCTAGAATTCATTCTCATCATCCACCCTTGAAAGCTCTAAACACCAAAAAAAAAAAAAAAAACTAAGGTCAATAAAAGTCTAACAATTACTATATTCCATGAAAAAAGTAGCCTAATAAATATATTGCGTTTCTCATCAAAAAATGAATAAACATATATACAGACTTGAATTTAACCCAATGTATCGACCTGAAGTTGACCCGAAATTTGAACTCGAAAATTGACTCGACCCGAACAGACCTGACCCAAAACGACTCGACCCAAAGTGTTAACCCAATACCCGACCTGACCCGGTTACCCGTTAACCCAAAACCCGAAAATGACCCGACCCGACCCAAATATATGTTGACCCGAAATTGACCTGACCCAAGATGACCCGACCCATACTCGACCCGAACGACTTATTTGCTAGGTATAAACTCATCATTGTTTCTCCAACAATTGCTGGCATAGGATTTCGTCCGGTGTCAACTTGTTCCATAATTGATACTAATATGGCTTGACCCGTATGGTTACTACCATTAGTAAGCAAAAGTTGACTAAACATGCAAAGTAGAAAGGCCCTTCTTCTATATATGTGAAAAGAACTAGACTTAGGTCTATAAAAAAAAAAGATGCAAATTTTCTTAGATCTACTTCTTTCCATGAATTATAGAATTTAAATCGGCTTCCCTAAGATTATAAAAACGCTTAAAATCCTTAATAGGCCATTCATATTGAAATATTCAAGCTCTTTTCGCTCACTATTGGTCAAAGATCGATACCACTCACGAGTAATCTCACTAAAATTTTTAGCCATGATTGCTAGAATATAGAGGTTAGAAGAATATGAAAGCTAAAGACTCAAATTATGCTGAATATGATGTATTTAGAGGCTTTTTATAACCAATATCGACGCAGAAGCTGAATATTATTCGAAATCCGATTTCTCAAAACCAGCGCGCCGCGATAGGATCATCGCGCCGTGATAATGCCATCGCGCCGCGATGATCCCTGGTGTCTGCGATGCAACTGCCGCGTCTAATTGCTCTTTGATCTGATTTCTAATAAAACTCGAAATTTGATTATCTGATTTTCAATCTAAATTATTTTCACCTTTCCCATATTATCCCAAAGCTATTCACCTTTTCCTATGACAATTCAACCTCTTTGATTTAATCCTTTGATGATTTGGAATTTCTTTTCTAGGAATTTCAACTTAAATATTTACACACTTAGTTTCCCTCATTTCCATTTTTTTCATTTTTCTTTTGGGGAGAAAGTCGAATACCCTAAAATGATAATAAAAATGACAAAAAAAATTCGCAAAATTTGTCACAAAATCACACACTCTCACATGGCACACTCATATCATACACTCATACGCACATAAAGCAAGTGTAAAAATAAATAGAGTCTATAGATATACACATAAAATTCTGAATGAATATACATAAATGTTAATAAAGTATACAAACATCAAGCAAAGTCCAAGTAGACCGAAAAGATAAAACGAGAAAAAAGACCCATGAACTCGTTAAAATCCCGAGTCCGAGGAGTCACCTCCTGACTGGAGCTGGCAACACCTGTCACGAGGATCACGATCGTAGGACCGCTCCACTGTGTGAACGCTGGACCTCCTTGGAAGCCGTATTGATAGAAGCTCCCGCCAGCGAAGGAAGGAGGAGCAGGTTGCTGCGACGATGACCCAACCTCGTATGTCCCACCAATGAACTGAGGAGGAGGCATGTCATGCTGAGATGATGGACCAGCCTCGAACGAATCAGGAACAACATGTGATCGCACCACCGAGGGACCAAAACCTGGTGGAAGAACCTCGGTCGAGGAGGACTCACAACCCGAGCTATCACCATCACTGCCCTCTGCCTGGCTAGCAGTCTCCTGTCTGAACGGGATCTCCAAATAAGTACAACGACGCCTCTCTCCTTCCCCCTTTGAGCCGCCCTGCCTCGAGCGAGTGCGTGACCAAGGACCCAACTGAAACAAAGACAGAGAAATGCAAGTCAGTCTAAAGCAAATAGATAGAACAAATGTGCATAAATAAGGATACATACCGGCTGAACACCATCCGCACATCGGTTAGGACATCCCATGGCTCCATCGCACCAGTAAATATCGACAGGCGTCAACAACAGCTGCCAGTCGCACCACGGTCTCTCGAGAGAACTGCAAGATCAAACAGGGCCAGGAAGCAAAATGACATATGCATGAAACTAAGGAAAAGATGTATACCTACCAATCTCGTGGAACAAGGAATGGATCGCTCCACCATCCACCACTCCTGGAGAGCTGGAGGGATCGTCTCCTCAATAGAACCATAAAACCCTAGGTAGTGAATAGACATGCACGGGGGCTCGAAAAACTCAGGCTCTCTCTCCTCCTATAAGATGATCTAATAATTAGCGTCGCTTGGGGGCTACAGAAAAGACAAAGGAAGATGATAAGGACAACACACCTCCTCACAGTAAGGTGGATGAGCCAATCTAGGGAGCACCGCCTCCTCGTAAGATCTGTTGGTGTAGATGTGCTCCCAAAAGTCTAGACCCAAGACGCCCTCTCTGGCATATGTCCGGAGTGCCTCCTTACTCATCATTAAGCTAGGAGGATCCTCAGGAACTAGAGGCACGTCTAAAGAGTGCTAAAGGGCTACCCTCTCACCCAGGTACCACACCACGTGAAAGGTGTCCCAAACAATACGCCTCTCAGCCGTCAGTTGAGAAGCTCACTAAAAATTGCCAAACTTAAGCAATGAGCGATATTGTACCTCAGGGCGCTGAAATAAAAAGACACGTAAGAATTCGTGATAAACCGAGGAAAATAGAAGTAAGAAACATCCTTACCTCAAGAATAGCAGCCCTTACGGCAGCTACAGTAGTGGCTGGACCTGCAACACAGTCTTCCCAGCTAGAGGCTATCGAGAGTGCCCTACTCCTAAGCCTCCTCGGAGTTAGCGAAGGAAAATACTCTTAGAGCCAGACCTGTGAAGAATCTAGGAATTCTGAGAACTAGTAAGTAACAAGATTTAAGTTGAAATCACAAGATAAGAATATAACTTTACAACCTTCTAGAGACCACAGACGGAGACCTCTGACTTGCTGCTCTGCTGACGGCATCCCTGTCGTAGACTCAAGAGAACGTCCCCATAGACAATGTCGGCCCAATCAAAGGTGCTAACTTGGGAAAGATCGCGCAAGGCGTGCAGGTAGCACAATAAAGCACGACTTCCCCTGTCAGGAGAGATAGTCCCCGACAACAGTATAAGAATGAAAATGCGAACCCGCTGCTCCGGCGTAGTCCTGTGGTCATCAAAACTGCGAGCCAGGAACCGAGTACGAACCGATCTCATGCTCGAGCTCTTCTCTCTCGCGTCAGCAATGGCCCTATATACAATAGTACCCAAAAGAGCCTCTGTCTCTAGAGACGTCAGCAGTAGTGGATCGTCCATAGGGAAGGGAATGGGGCGGAACTCGAGTCCGCTGATGGTAGAGAAGTCGAGTGGGGTGATAGTCATCTCACCCCACAAAAAGTTGAAAGTGTTTGTAGTATCCCAGAAAAACTCCAAGACACCACGAATGATGAAACGGCTCTCCCGGAAAGTCAAGAAAGCCTCAGCAGTGCAAAACAAGGAAGTTAATCCACATGACTCCCAAAGACCCCTAATCGCATCATTCTTAGTGATGCGAAGATACAGAGACGAGATAATCTTGTTACCCGAGCCGTGGCAATGCATACCCTTCTTAGAGAAACCCGACAAGACCCGCTAGGAAATATGGTGAGCAGGCTTAAAAGTAAAAGTGTGCTTGTCCCAAACAGAAAGAATTCACCCCCCTGCCAGTAGAAGCGCGACCCTCATCGCCTTCCCCCTCTCGAATAGGGGAATCCTCTCGGTGAGTAGGGCGTGAACGCGAACCACAACCATGACGACGTGGAGGCATGCTATTTTGATATAACGACATTTAATTAATTGTTTAAAAATATCT